CCCCAAAACCCCAAAACCCCAAAACCCCGAATAGATTAAAAAGAATTGACAGATTGTAATTTGGGTTCAACATAATTAAATTTTCGCCATTGAGAATAGTCTAAAGTGTAATATCTAAGAAGTTTCGGAACTGGGTAATCCGGAATCTGTAGAATAAATTGGATTGAGCAGAAGCTATAATAGTTTTATAATTTTGAAAACTTACACTTTCAGAAGCTTCAAAATCTTTTGAAACAAAAAAATCTTCTTGCCCGTAATTGTCTATCAATCACACACTAATTCTTGGAGTCATGGATAAACTTAGTTTTATCAGATAGATTTGGATCATTGTTGGAACAGAGCTGAGAAATAAATAATGACAGAAAATATAAATGGCATATCCAAGCTTGTTATGTGTTAGAGAGTCTTGTTTCCACTCTTTAAAGAAGTCATACTGAGTCCTAACAATGATATTACTACCTCTGATTTCAAATGCAATGAAAATTACTATGGCGCTGATAGCCAATCTCCATTTTATCTTACTGCTCAATCTGACTCCGTCAGTGTCCGTTTCTAATTTTTGTAGAGCTTTATAAAATCAAAACAAAAGAACTACAAAGATTCCACCTGTCAGCATATAAGATCAGGTAAGAACAAGAATTGAAGGTGTAATCTTCGTTGAATTATCAGCCTTTTTCTTACAAGTTTGTAGACCGCCGATCAAGAAGGATATTGCCAATGCTACCAAAATGGTCAACATAATTGTCCAAACAATTATCTGATAAGTCTTATTCCTCCTTCTTCGTTTCTGAAGTTTCAGTATTTGCGAAACATAAGTGAAAGATAACACAATAATTGTGTTGAGATACATATAAAAATTTATCCAATATGACCAATAATTTAATCAAGAGTTCTTGTATTTGGTGCACCCATCAAAGCTTTTAAAATATGCTTGAGACGCTCCAAATGCAATATCACATAGGATGGATAATGTCAGGAAACCCATAAAAAGACTTGTCAATTTATGCTTAATTCCATAAATTCTTAAATATTTCACTAAATACCTGACCTGGACCAGGAGGATAAGGAATCCTAATAATGAGTATATTATCAACATAGTAATATACGCTGTACATCTCTCATCGGGCTCTTTTCTTTCCATTTTACTTAGTTTTTGAAATACTACAATTATTTATAATTTTCCTGGGGTTTTGGGGTTTTGGGGTTTTGGGG